TTGAGCGAGTTTAGTAAGACTTGGCTATTGAGGGCTTTAATAACCCGGAGCCTGGCACGGAAACGACAGCGTAAAAGTTACTCCGTGTTGTTGTCAAAGGTGGCGTCGGACACTGGATTCCATCTGGGACTAGAAGAGCTCTAACTCTGCCTGCTTGTTTCTCTGGCCCCAGAGAGGTGGAGAAGAGCGGGTGTTTGAGAAAGAAGAGGAGGAAGATGATGAAGAGGAGGAGGAGGAGGAGGAGGACAATGTGTCAGAGGGCTCAGAAGTGCCTGAGAGTGACCGCCCCGCAGGTGCTCAGCACCACCAGATTAATGGAGAGCGGGGCCCTCAGAGTGCTAAGGAGAGGGTCAAGGAGTGGTCGCCCTGTGGACCCTACCAGGGCCAGGATGAAGGGCGGGGACCAGCACCTGGCAGCTGCACACGCCAGGTCTTCTCGATGACAGCTACGAATAAAGAAGGGGGATCAGGTAAGGACCCCTCTGGGTCGGTCGGGCAGTGCAGAACAGCCAGCTGTGTACCCTAGTCTGGATACTGCCAGCTGCTTTTCCTTCCCCAGCTTGTGTTGCGGCTGCTCCAGATTCTCCATCTCCTGTGCCTTTGCCCCCAGGAAAACCAGCTCTACCTGGGGCTGATGGGACACCATTTGGCTGTCCGTAAGTTGAAGCATTAGGGACTTGGGGTTAGCGCGTGAGTGTTGGACAATCAGCTGTGTCATGGTCACTGTTGTTCTCCATTCTGGTGCAGTCCTGGGCGCAAAGAGAAACCGAGTGACCCAGTGGAGTGGACGGTCATGGATGTGGTGGAATACTTCACCGAGGCAGGTTTCCCAGAGCAGGCCACTGCTTTTCAGGAGCAGGTGAGTACCCAGCCCGGACTGCACATGTCTGTACACAGAGGGCCTCACAGGTGTCCACTGACCCTGCCCTTTCTGTCCTGCCCAGGAAATTGATGGCAAGTCTCTGTTGCTCATGCAACGGACAGATGTGCTGACTGGCCTGTCCATCCGCCTGGGCCCAGCCCTGAAGATCTACGAGCACCATATCAAGGTGCTTCAACAAGGCCACTTTGAGGATGACGACCCTGACGGTTTTCTAGGCTGAGCACCAGCCAGTCTTGCCCCTCCCCAGCCAGTCAGGAGCTGGATGTGGGGACTCCTTCAACCTTCCTAACAGACTGTTTCCCCCTTTTCTCATCACATCCCTACCTTAGTACATCCCTCTCCACAGAGGTGGAGTGTGGGGTAGTTGGACTTGGTTGGCTCATTACAGGGGCCACCCTTTCTCCCCAACCCCAAACATTTTTGAAAAAAAAAGGGGGGGGAGTTTCCTGTGGCCCCCAAACCCTCTTCAGTTCAGCCAGATGTATCTTATATACGTGTTTCGTTCTGCCTGTCCTTCTGGTGGTGGGTTTTCCCCGTCCACCCCCGGTGCCCTCCCCCACACCTTGACCTCCAACCTCTGGAGAACAGGTGAGGTAAGGGACCTTGGGTCCCCTGGCTCCTTTCCTTTCTGTCTGTCCATCGTTGCTCCACCTGGCTGTATTGCTTTTTAATATTGCACCGAAGGTTTTTTAAATAAAACTTTAAAAAAAAAAAAAAACTAGTCCATTTTCTGAATGGAGTCAGGAGGTGCTAAAAACCTTGAAATGTTTAACATGAGGACAGGGTGTTGGGAACAGAGCAGCTTTCCTCGGCCCACTACAGGGGACTGACTGCAGTACTTTCCTTGGCCCTCTACAGTGGGGCTATGCCTTGCTTCCATCCCCAACACTGACCAAAAGGAAATGGTGTTTGAAGCACGCCGGGCATCCTCAGCACTTCAGAGGTAGCAGCAGGATCAAGAATTCAAGGCTAGCCTTAGCTACATCCTGTCTCCAAAAAAAAAAAAAAAAAAATCTAAGACCAGAATAGTTCCTTTGTCTTCCTTCCAGAACCACCTGCTCAAGTGTTTGTTGAGTGACTAACAGTTAACTGCACACTTGCTGAACGTTTTTGTAGTTTCATGAAGCAGACGTCATAAAAACTCATAGAATGGGACAACCTATTTTGACACAGTCAAAAGGGTGAGGGTCACACAGGACAATGTGACACCTGTTGCTGCTTTACTGTGAGCCTTGTAATTAATGTATTTGGCTTCCTAGCTGTACTTAAATGCCCATCAGTTTTTGCACGTGGCTAGGAATTCAATCTACAAGTGTAAGAGGTGTTTTGGGGGACCAGGGCACGCATATTGGAATAAAGGAGACAATGGGATAAGCCAGGTCACTTGAGTTCTTTATTGTAGAAGTAACAGCTACTTCACTAGTCTCTTGTAAGCTCACATGCAGTGAAGAGTCAGATCTTGGGCTGGGGGTCACCGGCTGGGGAGGCGCCTAGGTCTCCACCTTCACTCCTGGATTTCTAACATGTAAGGAATCCCCTCCAGCCCAGTCAACGGCTTGGGAGAGAAAAGGAGCCTACCCGCGTGCGGCGGCCACCACAAGGCGTGTCTGGGGCTCTGCTCTTGGCATCGCCCTGCATCGCGCGCCAGGTGCCCGCTGAACTCCGTGCGCAGTGCAGGCCCAGGCTGCGAGGGCCTCCGCGTGCTCAAATTCAAAAGAGGCAAAAGCCCGCGGGGCGGTGCCGGCAGAGACGTCGAGGCTGGGCCGAGGGGTCGCGGCTGCCCTCACTACCCCGCCCCGTCGAACCCAGGTGTGCTGCACTCCCGGGACGCCGCGGAGGCTGGAAGAGCCTGCGGTGGACGCCGATGGCTGCGGAGCCCTGGTTCGCTGGGTCACTGGCCCTGGGCCCTGGAGAAGCACTGCCTTCGGAGGAATTGGGACCCGGGCCGCCCCCCTATGGAGACTCCTCGTGGTCGCCCGCCGGGAGACCGGAGACCTCAGCGGAGCAGGAAGCCCAGCGGGCACAGCAACTCATGGAAGCCCCAGCCTCCGCGTCCTCCCGGGAACCACTGGCGGCGGAGCTGGGGCCGGCCCAGGCTCGACTCCCACTGGACTCCATGTTCAGCCCCATCACTGACCAGCTCCGTTACCTGCTCAGGAAGGCGGATGACTTTCAAAGCTACTTGCTTTACAGGTGACCCTGTACAGGGGGCCTAGGTCCCAGGACAGGCTGTGCAGCCCATACAAAAGCCAAAACTAAACTCAGGGCCCAGAGACAGTACATGAGGACAGCTGATTAGGAATACACTTTACCAGTGTGCCCGGGGCTGTGGAGATTCGAGAGGCAGAGGCAGGCAATGTGTGGGCCTTTAGGATACCAAGAATCTTTGGTTGGTTGGTTGGTTGGTTGGTTGGTTGGTTGGTTGATTTGGCCGGTTTGGGTTTTTTGGTGTTTTTTGTTTGTTTTTGTTTTTTGAGATAGGATATCACATTCGAATTGGAGACCCTCCTGCCCCAGTCTACTGAGTACTGCCTACCAAATTTGAAATGGTGGCTTAAATTTTTTTTTCTTTTTCCAAATCCCCTAAAAGTCAGCTAAACAAAAACTATCTGCATTAACTCTAACCAGAGAACCTCAGTGTGAGGCTACCCTAAACTCCCAAAGAAAAATGCAATTTCCGGACCAGGGGAAATGGATTGACAGTGATGTCTGTAGGAGGCTGGCTTAAATCCCAGCTTTCTGAGCTTCACTCAGCAGAGCTAAGAACTCAGTTGCATGCACCCCCAAACACACTGGCAATGGAACTAGGGCCCTGTGCTAGGCAATCATTGGGCCAGAGAGCTGCATTTCCCAGCCAGGTGTCAGCATTTTAACAAATTATTCTAAATGATTGGTGCAGGTGGTTCTGAAAGATGTGGAGAGAGAGACTTGACACGTGGGGGGTGGAGGGAATGACCTTATGCTGAGCATTGGGGCTAAAGCTTTACCTGTGGTGAGCCCCAGTCTCTACCACTGACTTAACCTCCCAGTGCCCCTTTTTATGTTAATTTTTGGATGCTGGGGATGGAACCCAGGGCTCTGCATGTGCTATGCAAGTGCTCTGATCAGTGAGCCACAGCACTGGGGGAGTTTTGTAATGGGTTCTGCCAGGAATACAGGTGGAAGGAGCATGGGGCACCTGGGGTGGAGGGAGAGTGATGCTACCTGAAGGCCCCTTTCTCCCTTCAGCAGGGACCGAGTACAGAAGGAACAGCTAGCCAAGGCCATGCCTACCTTCCTAACAATGTGTGAACCTTACTTCCTGTACCTTGAGGCTGCTGCAAGGAGTGTCCCCCCCATCTACGGAGCCCTGCAGGAGTTGGTTCGGAAGGGGGTGTGTACCTTAGCTATTTTACTAGGCCCCTTTCTTTGGACCCTGCCTAGGGGTAGAGGGTTGCTTCTGGCAGACCGTCTGAGGTCATGAAGTCCCACCTTCCATGCAGTTGTTGGAGATCTCCCAGCAGCTAACCCTACGCTTGGAACAGTTAGTTCTCATGTATGCCTCCTTCGGGTTCGTGGACCTGGAGGAAACTAACCCTTTGAGGTAAGGGGGCAGGAAATGAGGCTGTGGGGTGGCAGAGTCCAGGGCCCAACTTGCTGTCCAATCTCCTATCTCCCGCTAGCATCTCCTGCTTCTTCTGTGGGAGGTTCTCCATTAGCCCCTCCCACGACGTGTCCATCTTCCGATACTGCACCCCAGCTGCGTACACTGCCAGCCACTTTCCGAGATACCTCTATAAGAAGATGCGCTGGAACCTGGAGACCACCACAGAGGCCAGTAGCCAAGGACCAGACTCCCGTGTGGATTAGTGAGTTTCCTTGTCAAAATTAAAAGTCCTCCCCTTCCGATGCTGAATTCAGCTTGAGCCACACCACCACCACAGAGCGAAAAGACAGGAAATTGAACACCTTTTGCAGTGCTGGGATAAAACCCAGGACCTTGTATATACTAGACCAGCACTGTATACCACGGAACTTCACCTTCTATCTTTAGTTTTCTTAACTCTACTTCCCATTAAAATATTCATCTTCAGATTAGACCACCAGGGAGGAAAGTCCTCGGCACTGAGTCACATTCCTACCTGAGAACTTAAGGCAACTTCTCATGAACTTGAACTGCACCTCCAGAATTAAAGCCCTCATCAGAAAAACCTAAGGAATGCTTTTCCTTCTGATTTCTCCCTCAGCTACTTCTTATGTTATCGAGATACATGGGAGGATACAGGCCAGGGTCCAGCCAATTCGTGCCCCCAAATCCAGAAACTCTGGTCCATCGGCCGATGGCTGCCCCTAGGACCAGCAGAGGATGACCTTGACTCATGGTAGGATGGCGATGTGAGCTTGAGGTCCGAGGGAGGGTGGGACAGAACCCTATCAAAGACTGGATCTCAGAGTAGTGAGGGATCACATTTTACTGTGCCCTGAAGAGTGCTTTATGCAGACTAACCAGCAATTCATAGAGGTGTGGACCAGTACATTTTGCAAAAAAGAAAACATGTTTTCAGAGTGGGTTAGTCGCTCTCCCAGGGAGACACTGCAGCCTCAAGTGCAATGCTTTAACTTAGGAGTTTGTCAACAGAGGAAACACTTTCCCTTAGGGTATCCCCAACCCCTAACTTGAAGCCCCTCCCAGCCTTGAGGAGCAGGGGTTCTCAAGTCCAGACTTGTTTCCGCGCCCAGGATTTTATGCCCGCAGCCGCCCGGGGACTACCAGCAGCTACTAACCATCGGCTTCGAGGAGCCGTCGCATGTGCTGGCCACCGACCTGCTGGTACAGATCCTCATGGGCCAGGTAGGCCCCGCCCGACCCCCCAGCACTGCCGGGCCCTTGGCTTGGGCTGCCCCAGCATCCTGAGCCCCAGGTGAAGACGCCAGCCCGGGCTTGATAACTCCAAATTCCAGGCAGGGAACAGGGGCGGGTTGCACTGAGTATGCCCGGCCCCGGCGTGAGCCACCGAACAGCAAGTGCGGACACACTTTTCTGTTAATAAAAGGGTAAGGTCAGAGGCTCTGTGTCTCCTGTGAGCACCGCGTCCCTCCCCCGGGGGCGGGTGGGCTCTGCCCACCGAGGGGCCTTCTGGGAAGTGTAGTCCGCAGACCCTGGCGAGATAGTTGCGCGTGCGCAGATGCGAACTTGAGTCAAAGAGGGAAGTAGCGGCTCTCGTCAGCAACCGGAACCCAGAAAACAAGTTTCTGGTAGCAGGAAAATTCTAGGCCCACTGGAGGAAGACAGACCTACGCCCGTTTTTGTGTTTTTTTTTTTTTTTTTAACCCGGAAGTGATTCCTCGGGGGGAAACCCGCCCCGCCCCCCGTTTTTGTTTTTTTTTTTTTTTTTTAACCCGGAAGTGATTCCTATTCAGGTTTTTTTTTTTTTTTCTTAAAATCACAACTACATTTCCCGATGTGCCCTAGCAAACTGCAGGGTATCAGTTTGCAGAGTGGAGTCAGACTTTCTTCCAGCTTTTGGGGGTGTCCCAGCCAAGCTGATGGTTGTCTTGTCCCACGAAGAGTGTCTGGAGTACAGGCTGGCAGAGTCCTGGGGGGTTTTAACCGCACAGCAGTCTGAGGCTATCGAGGAAGCTCTAGCTGCGCTGAGAAGCTTTGGACTCGAACCTGGGTCTTCTGAGTGAAACCGGCCCCTGTGTAGGAATGTGATCTTCCTTCTCCCCTGTGTCACTCTAA